AGGAGCAATAGAAGAAACGGCGGTTCCGCGAGAGCTTGCTCGGGTGCTGAGGTATCGTCCAGGCAGCAGCAGTGGCCCAAAAAAGCCAAGAAATCCACGGTCCACCCAAAAGCTAAATAGACGAGTAATGAGCATGGCACTCCTCAACGTGATATGGACGTACCACGACAGGTCTCAAGGTCTGCCATATTCGTGTCACGGTATTATCTTTTGGTGCAAAAGGATAAACAGTGCTCCATACTTGATACACAATGGCGAGCGAGCTGGTAGCAGCTAGAGGCAATGTGCCATAGTAGAGCGAACCCTGGACGAGACAGAGATTGAATGGGGGTTCTGGACCGAGTTGTTTTCCAGAGTAGAGACTGATATAGTCAGTGTAAGCGCTGTTCCCGGCGTATTGGTGAACTAAAATGGCACGAGACGTACAGGGTGCATGCGCATATGCTAGTAAATATTCCTGAGAAGCAAAGATTGACAAGAGTTGGAGGCCTTTTCGAGAGGAAAATAAAGGTGAAAGCAAGTATTGGAAGTAAAAAGTGTCCTGCAACCAAGTGGAGTGAAAGCCACAGCGCGAGGACCTGAGATGAATTCGTCCCCACAACATTTGTATCGACGGCACCTAGATAGCACAAACAATGTCAGGACAAGTACACTTCGAACTACGAGAAACACGGTGAACATTACTGACGGCTAAAAATATCCATATTGCTGAAGGATATACGAGAAGGGTAGGCGAAGGTGCTGTCCAAGAGAAAGTTAAACAGAAAGAGACCAAAGGAGTGATGAGAAAGAGAGCGAAAACCAGATTGATGAGAATAAGCGCTAGCCTTAGTCTGCACGCAAGAGGCCTAACTTGTGGGGAGTGTTGGCCGGTTTCTACTGGTGATCGATCTCGGACAAGAACAAAGTGCCTTACGACTGTCAATTAACTGGAGATTCATGATTGTGTTCACAGACTAGCGAGGCATATCCGCAATTCTGGTTTGTATGTATGCATAGCTTGATGAATTCAAAAGCGTACTACAAAAACAAATAGGGACCCGTAGACTACTCCGCACCAGTGACACGAGCTGTGTAATAACAAAACCATCAGCATCAATACCTCGCATGGAAAACGTGCAGTGGACACTGACTGTAGATGAGTTGTCCATTATGGTGGACTATTCTCCGGATCGAGCCTTCCTTCTCCAAGTGTCTAATAGCAACTCGTGCAAGACTTCCATTGATCTTTAATCGTTCGATGAGGATCGCAGGGCTGATGAATCGGAAGGTAGGAACGTCTTTGAGGATACGGTCGTAGGTAGCCTTGTCAAGGACCACAGCGTGTTGGGCTTTGTCCTTGACCTTTCCTTTCGACCATTTCTTTTTCTTTGCGCCTTTTCCTTGGCCTGAAGAGGTGGCTGCGGCAGCTTTTTTGGGCGGCTGTGGCGGTAGAGATGGTTAGTGTCACTATAACTGGACAGGTATCACAGAAATGGACATAATGTGCTTGATGTAGTTTATGGGAAATATTGTCGTTGAACTTTGCTCACCATCTCGGATTTGGCCCAACCAGTAGGAGAGAGGACTAAGGTTAAGGTTTATTCCTAATCTGGATACAACCTGTGAGGTCTCCGCTAGCGGCACGTTGACACATTAGGCTACCCCCAAAAAGCTCGTAGTTTCTATCTTTCTTCAAAGTTGATCCTTCACTGCCATGTAATATTTACGGAAGTTGCCATTGGATGGGTCAATTGGCCCATATGCACCTCCGCGACGACCGAGCTACGATTCAGAGTCTCTCGCCCATATGATATTTAAATCACGTAAATTGCAACAGTCTCTAGAACAGTCATAAGATGAATCCAATGTAAATGAGTGTACAAATAAGCTAGCAACGGTGGGAACCATAATAGAAATACAGTAGGGTATTATTTTTGGGAGGGAAGGAGGGGTACGTATCCACGTATCTTCTATCTCTGAGCTCGTGCGACCCGTGGTGGGGGCACAATATCGGGAGTGAGTGTAATTTCGGAAGCAGCGTCGTCGTCGATATCGCGCGCTTGAGGTGTACGTGGGTCGTTGAGTGTGTCCATTCGGATGGCGACGCGGTCACCTCCAGGTCTCCACAAGTTCCAACGAGAGGGGCTGCGGTAGAGTGATAGCAAGAGGATGATGGAGAACGCGACCATGAATAAGGTGATCACAAGTGCGGCGAGGTCCACTTTGGCGAGGGTGACTTGATCTGGGTTGCCAATGGTATGGAAAGAGGAGGTGATGACGGTCTGGATGGCGAGGACACCAAGAAGGGGTACAACCAAATTCAACAAAGTAGTGGTGACCTATCAAATGTGTTAGACAATGTTTAGGTGCGGAGCGTATCAAAACTTACAGAGTCCATATATCCTTCACGCTTCATCGCCCTCTTCAAGCAAAAGCTAGAGGCAGAAACATCCATCACAGCAATCGCCACGAACGCGCTGACCACACCATCGAAAAAGGTGACAGTTTTTACGATCGTGTTGTACTGGTTCAATACAGCGGGCTTGTCATGATCATCAGATACCATCTTGAGACCAATGGCCATGGTCAATTTGGAGACCAGAGTCAAAAAGACGAGGATGAAGGCGATAAAGAAGGAAGCCCCTTCTTTACCCTTCCATCCTAAAAAGGCGGGAAACTTGTGCAAGGTTTGGTCATCCGCTTTCGTGCTCTTCTTGGGGGAGCTGGGGCTAACGGGTACAACTTTGGATCCAGTCGTCTCTTGCACGAATGCGTACCACCGAGATTGCAAAACGTTGACGATAGCGAGGAATAAGAACGCGAACGGAAGTTGGCTCGACACCGTTGCGAATACCATCAAGGTCGCCCAGCCGCCCAATGTCAAGTTTGGAATGGACAAAGAGACTCCGCTTCCACTTGGAGGGAGTTGCTGTGCAAAGAATATGACATTGAGGATGCTGGAGATGAAGAGCGAAAGGACGGTGGCGAAGAGGAGGGGGAAGAAGGCTCGCGGTCGTGGATCTCGGCCTTTACCGGTTCCACTGTTCGGCATATAGGATGGTCGTACATATTGGTACAGTGTCGCGAGCAGCAAGACTGCTCCGAACACGATATAGACAAAGTTCGTCCATAGTGAACCAGCCGTCAAAGAGGTGAGGGCGCTCATGCTAAAGGATTGGATACTCGTCCGAGTGACGATTTTGAATTAGATTGGTGGCGCAGTGGTAGAGAATACTGGCTCTCCAGTGAGGTTCCTGCTCCCAGTTAGCCAACTCATGCAGACACGCTCATTAAGCTACCTACTGGTCGCAAACTCTGCAAGATGGACGAGTCAATCGTCTGGAAGGAGTGGAGAGAGTTTAGAAGATGAGGACGAGTCCAAAGGACGGGTTGAAAGCTTTGCGCTCTCCCGTCGAGTACAAGGCTTGTCCAAATTAGGAAGGTGTTTGCGATACGGCGTGCGGCTGCCAAAGTGAATGAAGCGGCCGTTCAGCGTCGGTAACTCCAGAGTATAAACAGTATATAGAGCAATGCTGGATACAGATTGTATGGCTATGGATCTCTGGAAACATCACCGCAGAGTGCAACCACGCATTCGTGCCTGTCACCGAGCAGCGCCCCAGACGCGGTTCTGACGCCCTTGTGCGTGTAGAAATGCCAGATTAAGATAGGTTTGAATGCAGAAACTGGCCGTCCTCGCGCCGCACGAGCGGGGTGAGTAGGTTCCAGCCGGTGAACAGGGGCGACGGCGAGCAATACCCGAAGAAAGTACACAATATATGCAGTGTATAATTACTTGCAAATAGATCTGTTCAGGAATGATTTGTGAGTGAGAACGCCCTGGAGATACCAGGAGATGGACTGACCCGGCCAATGAAATCGACGCTATTCCCAATAAACTAAGAAGACTTGCTCGATGCTTGTGCAGCCAACACACGTTCTTGTCGTAATGCTATCAGTCGGCGTTGATTGAAATAAGAGATCTTGAAATCAAGTCAGTATGCCAGCAGCCAAATTCCTTTGGTGCAAACTTGCCCAGCTATAAGAATACTCATGAGTTCATATAGATTGCACGTCATAATTTTACCTACCTTTTAGCACAGTTGGTTTCGTAGGCCGCCGCTTCCTGTTTGCAGTGCTCGCCCTTGTCTGCAGGTGACGCGATCTTGGAAGCATCAAGACAAGCAAAAAATTCATCTCGGGATCTCCAGCACTTCGCCCTCGCTTCCCTCGTCGGAGGTGACACGTCTGCTGAACTTGGGTCTGCCTCACCGCTCGAGCTTGAAGAGGATGAACTAGAGAATGGCCACCACATGGAGTATTATTTTCTTATAAATATATCGAAAATTGTGTAAATTTCTAGAGAGTAACCAGAGCACCGGGTCGGTCAAATAGCAGAGCCGCGAAGACGGCTAGAGAACAGGAATGATAGCTGAGTTTAAATTTGATTGACCTCCTAGGATCCTATTACCATACACTCTAGTTCTAAATTACACGAAAAAGGACATCTTTGAATGATAATACATAATACAGGAACGAACAGTAGCATAGGAAAATGGATGCATACAAATACCCATGCATCATAAATCGAACGACTCCCGTAGGTACTCTTTTCGCCATGGCCAACCAATTTTTTGCCACGAAGAAATTAACTGATGGGTTTACGCCGGACATATAGATCATTTGTTAGAGGATCGAAATCTTCATCGCTCAACGAACACTTCCACAAGTCTAGAGGATTCAGTTCAGGCTCGCTGAGTCGAATGATCTGAGTTACGACATGTGATGGCCACAGTTGTTTCAAGTGCTCGCGAAGATCACGACATTTCGTTGTATTGCAGCAATTGCCTCCACCCCTTGCTATCTCTTTGGGAAGAACTAAGTCAGCTGGAGACCGCCAATGTCGCACTAAATCGGCTCACCTAGAGGCATTGGACTTTGATCATTCATATCTTGTAGTACGGCTACAATGTACGCCTTTTTATTTCCTATTTTCACAATGTCGAGCTCTAATGACTCCTTGTCCTTCTCGATGGCCTGTCTGGGCTTGACGTACTCCCAATAGCAGAGGTTGGGGGCCCTAAGTGACTTCTGTTCGTTTGAATGTCGAACCCATACGTCAAGTGCCTCGTCGACAATGCCCATTTGCAACAAGTGCCATCTTACTTCCCCGTAAACAAGAAAATTATCCGCTAAAATAATGGGGCATCAATGAGATAAATGGCAAGACAGACTGAGATGTGGGGACATACTTATAACTTCCTCACTTCTACTTGGCTCATCCATAAACCGAACTCGAATGGTTTGCGGATTCGGCCTCTGTAGCTCGTTGATACGTTTGATACGTTTATCGAATGCAGCTCTGTCCTTTGTGATGGCTTCGTCCATTATACCGTCCAGTTCGTCGATTGGAGTTGGCCGTTTCTGAATTGCACCAATACTTTTGCGTTAGTCGAACTTGACGGCGAGATCCAACAGTCACTCTACCTTCAACTGATTCAATAGCGCACAACCATCTTTGAGAATAGGTATCTCCTTTTCATAGCGATCAGGATTAGTATTTGTTCGTATATCGATGCTTTCGAGCTGAAGTACTTCCTCTCTTGTCGTCCTCACGATTTTCGCGACTTTATCAAGCCTGGTAGTTGTATCATGTATCAGTAGATGAGATGCATTGCTGCGCTGTACTCCTTCGCCCTGTCAGCTAGCTCACCGTTCTTTATTGTTGCGATGCTTCCCTCTACAGAAGTATAGTGCACGTCCTTCGAATAGTCCAGCTAAGTTTTCATTACTTAACGCCCTCTTGATTTGTGCTAAATCTTCGTTAATGGCTTGAACGGCTTTAAGTTCTTTCCTGGCGCTTGTCGGTGGGAGGTGCAGAAATTTCGACATGGTACTGGAGATGAACAACTTGTACACCAATAATTCACCCTTAATTGTGTGGTAAAGGATTCAGATCAAAGCAAACATGGGTCGCTGTGGCGGCCAGCCTCCTCATCCCGCTTTCACCACTGTTGGGCGCATGTCAGCATAGGTTCATTCTGCAACCTTGGTCATCCCCACCTCGGGATCCGCGAGCCCGTTATTACGGGGTTATATGCCTCACGATAAAAATCATCTCCGATCTCTGTTACTAACTACTATTTAGGCAACTTCGCCCCATATCATGTCGGATTCGCGACAGCAGCTCGCCGACTATGCTCAACTCGTAGGCCGTAGTCTACGCAATGAAATATCACAAGACCCTTACTCTGAACGCTATGA